AAAATCATATTTTTTTGATTTCTAACCTTTAAAATTTTCATAATCCAATTATTCATTCATAAAATCATGAAAAACGTGTAAAATAAAGAAGAAAACGTGCTATATTCACGAATTTGTAAATCGTGACAAAAGAATCCGAATGAATACGAATCGGCCGCGGTAATCGCCGGGGAAATTCGCCGCGGCTTAAGCGGGAAATGAATAGGAGACTGGCTCGAGCCGAAATAAATCGTCGCTGCTTTCCTCCACGTCTGTTTCTTTCCTCCAACGCTGCGTGGCGTGCGACATCCGCAAGTTCGACAAACCGAATCCGACCTAACTTCCTCCACTCGCCCGTCACTTTGCGTCTCGTCTCATATCCGCACTTTAAAAGCGCATTAGAATCCGAGCCAAGAAGGAGGAACAGATTAAACACTCGTTTCATGCGATCGCAAAAGAATTACACTCAATGTTTTAAAAACTCTTCTTTCCCTCGCCTTCGGAAAAGGAATTGGAAACTATTTTGTGTAAATACACATTCGTATGTATGTAATAAGCTTGAGTCTGGAGAAAATTCGCCGAGGGAATCGATTTAATATCCATGTTTATCGGGAACCCCTTAAGGGATGCTTTCAATATCGGAGAAATGCGCTCCCTTAAATATTTACCTTAACCAAAACAAGCAAAAAGAATGCAAAAACGGCAACAACACCGGAAACACGCGCTGGACGAACCGGAAATATTGAGAAAAGTGCAAATACAGCCGGAAAATTTAATATAACTACAACCGGCGATATTCAAATATTCAAATCGGCTTCGATATTAGTATTTTCATGCAAAATTGTGTTCTTAAGCTCCGCCCACCTGTGTCAGACGCCAGCGCCATCTTGATATCACATGCGCTTGTTTCGTGGAACATTTGTTGTAATTGAAAGTCGTAAGTTGACCGTTTATGGCCGAAGCAGCGCGGTAATTTGTCCGTCCATGGCGTCGTTTGACATGTTATAAAATACGCCCACAAATCCGAGCGTGCGCATTTGAATAAATGAATAAGAGAATCACAAATACATATACATACATATAGAAGTCAAGAAATGGAATGGTTTGAGGTTGATATTCTCTCTGCTTTTGTATGGCGAAAGGCAATTTACATTAATTTCTATCGGTCGTATCAGGCGCGCGCATCGCGCACTCGGATTGGTAATGCATTAGCGCCGAATCCACGCAACAAATCGACGCTACGAATGTGTGCGGCGCAATTACGTCGTTAATTTATCGTCGGTCGCGCGATACGTCGTGTAAAAAGTGCATGAAACATGCGATAAACGCGATTTGTTGAGCGTGCACACGAGGCAATTGTTTGCAATCAGCGCCGCCTGCACGGGATTGAGATGAATCACCTTTGTTTACAAATGGCCGACCAAGATTTATGGTAATTTGTAGTCAAACATGCTTGGAATGATGTCAAAACACTTTGTTTGGTCATTTTTTAGGTTATAACACCGATTATTTTATAATAAAAACTTTTTCTTTTAATTTTGTAGCTATTTTGGTAAAATAGGGAAAAAATAAGACAATACCGGTTATTTTGGATTCAATACCGGTTTTGATAAAACCGGTTTTTTTATTTTGCTCTTAATTTTGATAAATTTTTTATAAAAATAAATTTAAAAACATTATAAAGGTAAAAACTTAATACCGGTTTTTCAAAAACCGGTATTTTTTAATCCCATGCCTAATTATGATAAATTTTCTCATAAAACTAGGTTAAAGAAGTTAATATGAAGAGTAAAAACTTAATTTAAGATTCTTGGAGTGTTGTAGCTCGTCGCTCGTGTAATTACCACTTGATAAGTGCGGTTGTTCACGTCAGAAACGTCAAAACCGACATAATAAGTCGCCGCGCCGGCAGACAATGCATTGCCGCGAGCAGGGCGTTATTTAAATTCGCGCGCGCGCGCGCGCAAAGGTTAATTAACCGGATTGATTAAGCGCGGCGAGCGGCTGGCGCGCATTAATATCATTAAAATGGCATTACGCGCGCACGCCGGCTTTAATTACGTGCGATTATTACCGGCGGCCGATGCGATTACTTCGTTACCGAAAACAGACGCACAAACAACAACACAAACGTATTATGCTACGCCTGTCAAACGCTGACAATCTGACAAGGTAATTTAAACAATACAACTAACCTCAGCTCAAGATCGACTCGACTAATCCAATTATCAGGGATATTTTTAATCAAAATGTGTAACATTTGTCTAGACATTTTTTAGGTTAGTTTTAATACCATAATTCAAAAAATAAGTTAAAAATGATTTAAAAAAAAGTAAAACCTAAATACCGGTTTTATTAAAATACCGGTATTGTAAAACCGGTATTTTTATCATGCATCCAATTTTTATAAATTACGCAAATGATGTTAATGAAAAAGTCAAATACCGGTAATACCGGTTATAAAACCGGTTTTTTGAAATCTTGCACTCAATTTCATTAAATTTCTCAAAAACTTAACGTAATTTAAACAATACAATATCGACTCGACTAATCCAATTACCAAAACGCGTAAAATTTCATCCATTGCATTACAATCACGTTTGTTGGTAATAATTCAGATGGTATCTGCACTCCGCAGGGAGGAAGCGAGTCGGAATGGTCGAGGGAAAGTAAACAAAAGAGTCTAATCAAGAGATAGGTGCTTGCAGTTAGATAATGTCGAGCATAAAGACAAAAGAATCGTCCGCGTGCAGGGCTAGCCGCGAGTTTATCATCATTTCGATCGTTACTCAAGGCGAACGCTTGTTTCTATAGGTAATTTTTCTCGATGCGCAACACACCCAACAAAAGACACATAGATACGAGTGGAGTAGTTAAATGAAGACTTCCGCGATGATTTTATGTCTTTGGAGACCTTTCAACTTGTTTCGAGCGAAAATCTAGTTAAGTAAAGTTAAGTTTTTAATTTTGACGGTTTATTACCGGTTGTGAAGGGAAAAAATAACCGGTTATTTTTTATTTATCATCGAATTTTGATAAATCACACTAAAAAGTAGTTTGAGTAAAATTTAATACCGAAATACCGGTTTTAATAAATACCGGTATTGACAAAACCGGTTATTTTAAAATCTCACTTTCAATTTTTAGAAATTTCTCACAAAATAAAGTTGAAAATATTAATTAAGAAAAAGAGTAAACAGAATACCTAAATACCGGTTTTCATTAAAATACCGGTTATGAAAAAACCGGTATTTTTTCATTTCGCACCTAATTTTAATAAATTTTCTCAAAAACAACTTATTTTATGTTTTTAGTGACCTTTCAACTTGTTTCAATCGAAAATCTAATAAAATAAATTTAATTTTTAAAATTTTGTGGGTTTATTACGGTACTGTGTGCATCGAGCACAAAGTTCAATAACTTTAATTAATAGCACTATCAAAATGTGTCCTCAGAGTCGTAAAACGTAAAAGGTGAATGAATGAATGAAGATGAATTTCAGTGTGATGCGTGTTCCGCATTCGTTCATTGCTTCATCATTTCATCTCAATGGACACGAGCATGTTTTTGAATGTTGGGCGTGTGTGTGTATGTTATCAAAAATGAGATTATTCATTACGCAGCTTCTTTTTGAACTTTCGTCGCCATAGCAGCTTTCTAACGCGCGGATAAAAATGTATTATCTCGAAGTGTCCTCCAGTTATTAATCTGCGTGCGCGTAGAGAAACTTAATTAAATAAAGCGCGCGCAAGATAAGAGAAGAGCAGAGCGGCAGGTTCGTAAAATAGATAAAACCGGTATTTTTATGCACTTTGAGAATTAAACGAAATTATGGTGAAGGCATGGAAAGCGTGGCGTTAATTAACTCTAGTTGAAATTTATTTTTGAAAAATTTTAAGGAGAGTTTGAAGTGAGAGTAACGGAAGGAATGAATATATGTAGAGGTATTGCTTGTAGGGCAATTGATGAAAATTAGAGTAAGTGTAGTAATAAAATCGAACAATGCCAGGAAGTCAATCGTTTGGCTTGATGACCGATTTGTAGTTATGGTTGTTTCTTGTTTGGTGATCGTTAAGAGCAAAGTTGGAAGTAACAAGAGGAAAAAAATCGGAAAAATTGTTGTTTTGGCTTGAATTTCAGCAATATTACTAGTTTATTAATGCCAAAATATGCGCAATGAAATTATGTTTAATATGGTATAGTAAAAGTTAATATCCGCGTTAAGAAGAAATTTATGCGGAAAAATACGTTTTAGAACTGTAGTTACATGAAATTTACTTTAAACCGATAATATTTTGATTATTTTGTTGGTTTCTGCAAAAACGTAAAGAAATCATCATTTTGTTGCAAATTTTAACAAAATTCGCGTTTTTAGAAAAATTTCTATCGTTTTCCGGCAGATGGCGTTAGTGTACTTCATTAATGCAACACTGTAAGTTGCCTGCTCAATATAGGCAACCATATATACCTAATACTAATGGCGCACATTTGTTAATTCTCATCCATCAACATAATGAATAATATTCCCAGTTAATTTATGTTTAAAGAATAAACAAATCTCAAAATACTAGTTCTCTGAAAAGCGCGCTGTTAAATATTATTTTTCTAAATTCTTTTTATACACTTATCTTCGTATTCTATGCATAAATTATTTTCAAAGTTTTACAGCTGTTAAATACGTTGTTAATTTATGCAGTATTTGAACTTTTGTACTTTGTGTTGGCAGAGAATCGTAAATTCGCGTCTTAAAATAAGTTGGGCGCAAAACAATTACGTGCGCACTTGATAACTTATAAATATTATCGAAGATTATTTCGCATGCGTCTTAAATTTTAACGAAAATTATAAACACGGAGTCGAAGTTTGCGCAGAAACGGCGGATGAAAGGCACAAATTGATTACATTAATTCTCAAAGCGCTTCTAAAATAAATTTCCGCGGAAAATCGACTAGGCTAAATAAATACGCCTAGGTGATTCGATAATTTATTTGAGATTTTAAACAGAAAAATGTTTGTTTCAGATCAGATCATCGACAAAAATTCAAGGATCAGCGAGAATCGGATTAAAGGTAGGAATTTTTCTATATTTTTTCTTATTTTCACAAGTTTTCTCGGTTTTGTGACATAAAAATCACGGATGGCTAAAATCGTGATTAAAGTACTTTAGTCACGGGTTGGAGTTTGCGCATGCGCATTTCCTACAGTTTCTCAGTAGTGTGCCAACAAAGTTCAAAGTTTTAAAATAAAAAGTTCAAATACAAAAATTAAACGTGGTTAAAGTGACACTTAGCGCACTTGATACATAATATACTTTTTTTTTAAAATTTCCTGCAATAGCATAATAGTATGTAAATACTAGGAAATTATTAAAATTAATCCGAGATTATGGAAATGCACCTGCATGGTACGATTGCGATTGCGATTGCATATCGATTTGAATCCGGAATGTTTCCTCCATCTCCTCAATCCCTATCAGCATCCGCATCTTCCAATCAACCGGCGATATTTTTACGGCGCGCGCAATTGAAACTTATTATCATCTCGCATGCATATTGCTGGCGTGTCGCGAGTCGTTGATCCGCGACTCGGGCGCAATCTAATGACAAAACGTTTCATTGAGAGCAGAAAATAAAAGCAGACGTAACGACCGAACAACGACGAAGTTTCTCGCTGGGTGCTGGTTGGTCTTGGGTGTGTTGTGTGTCGCTGCGAATGATAATGCTAGTTAGTTTTTCGCTAACTAGAGACGCGGCAATAACGTGCGAGAGCCGTTTGCGATAACAAGCCGGGCGGTGCTAATTTGATGCGCAAATGTTTGCGCAGATAAAACCGGGGGAAGTGTGGGAAGTACAGGCGAATAATTATTTCAAATCCAGAACATACATGAGGAATTAGATGGAGATTTTTGTTTATAAATGTTTGTTACGCTTTCACGGCTAAACCACTTGAAGAATTTTTATGAATTTTTGTTTAGAGACGGATAAAAATATGGAGAATAACATAGGCTACTTTTTATTGTAGAAATAAATTTTAAAAGAGGTGAAATTGGGGTTGAAAGTGATTATTTTGAATAAATTAGTTTTATAGTTGTGAATTTCGAATGTAGATGGCGTTAAAATGAATGTAAGTTATATTTTATGAGGTATTTAGGTAACCTACGTAAAAATTACATATAAAATTTCACATTAAACTGTTTGTGACGCTTTCACGCCTAAACCACTTCACCAATTTTAATGATATTTGGTTTACAGATAGATAAAAATATAGAAAATAACATACACTACTTTTTATCGCCAAAATAAATCATAAAAGAAGTGAAACTGGGGATAAAAGTTCATATTTCCAATACTCATGCTTTTAGTTACATAATTCAACTGCAGATGGCGCTAATATTTACATAATTTCAATTTTATCCAATTTTTACTTAATCAGCGTAAATCCGGTTAATTTAACACACGTTGTCGTTAACATAATGATATGTTTATTTGTTGTTTGCATCTCTTTGAATTCAATTAGGCGCATGCCACACGCACATCGTCCATCGTTCATCATACGAATACACACGTATTTCGAATTAGATCCGACCATCCGCATAGAATATTATATGCGTGAGTGCGTCTATAATTATGTGGAGAATTTATGAAGCGTTCGCGTGGCCCAAACGACTCCAAAATGACAACTGTGCGTAATGTGCCATCCTGTTGCATCGCAGCGAAATTAATTATCATCAAAGCTCATCATCGTTTACGTTTATGTTGTGTGTTACATATGCGTATGTTTACTTTCAACGGAAACATAAAAAAATATATTATTCATCATACAGGTGAAAGAAGTAGTCGAAGTCGAGAGAGATTACTGTACTTTTAGTTTGTGCGTTTATTGCGATGTAATAATGCTCGGCGAGCGCACTCAGTGGAGAGCACATTTGCTGTATTTTTATTAAACTTTCGAATGCGGCGAAAGCACTACGTTTATTACTCTGTATTCACGTTTATTACTGAAGATTATCTGTGAAGCTTTTTGGTGAAGTTTTCGCGTACATTTTATAACTTTTCGGTTCAAATTTATGTTTGGTTAAGGAAACGAGGGTCATGGAATATAGAACAGAAATTTATTTATGGTTAAGTGCTAGATTAATTAGTCTTTTAATAAAAATCAGAGAAATTACTCAATTCTGACGGTTTTTCCTCGATTATACTGGTAATATCGGTATTAACATCGGTATACCGGTATTTGTTTTTGTTTGTTTGTTTTTATGATTTTTTGTTTTTATAAATTTAAATTTATAAAAACCGGTATTACCGAAATACCGGTATTTACATTATAAAAAAATACCGGTATACCGAAAACCGGTATTTCAACTCAAAATTCAAAAATTTCTAATTCTGTTTAAATTATTTCCAATAAATATAAAATTTATCGGGTATTGCAAAACGAAATGAATTTTTTTAACCAAAAACACAATGCTTTGTATTATACGAGTACAACAATTGTAGTGATTAAATTTGTAAATCGCCACTTGACTGAGGGTGGTACACACGCAGAGGTGGAGGTACTGCATGTCTAATTAAAATTCGACGCGCGATGCCCATCGAGTAATCGAATGAATAATCGCGTCGAAAACTCGCGCATAACTCGATTAATATGCGCGCCGAGCAAACAGCACTGACACACACACACATACTACTTACTCACATATAGATATATTGAATAGGAGGATACAACAAGGGTGGTTGTAACAATATGCACATAATGCGCGCACACATTAAATTCATTAAAACCTCCCCGAACGCAAATTAGTCGCGATCGATAAACATACGTCCAATCCCATTCCACATCCGCGTCACTCAGGGCGCTTTTTTTCGCATTCTGCACGCCTAGGAATATATTAATCCCGATTAGCTGTGAGTGAGTGAGGATGAGTTAGGGGCGCGAGAGAGAAACTGTCACAGCAAAACAGAACATAAACAGAATTAAATTAAATTGAATTATTTCTGCGCTAAATTAAGTATTACTAGACATTTCATAACGTTATAGAGAAGTTTCGTTATATGGAGATGTAAAACAATAACAAATATTGTTTAATATCATCAGAAAATTAAATTTTAGATACTTTTTTAATCAATATTTGGTAAAAATATTTTTATGTAAGAAGTTTTTGCTATTTGATAGGAAAATCAACTTTATTTGTTAATAACTTTTTAAATAACAAAGTATTTTTCTAGATATTTACACATTCCATGTAGAATTTAACGTAGATTTCAATTTTGAAAAGAATTTCTAAATTTATCGAAGGAGTAATGAGTTTATAACGTTTTTATCATCAAAAAACACTTTATTACGTTATAGCGAGGTGTCGTTACACCAAGAAACAAAAAATAACCAAATATTGGTATTTTACGCGGATAGGCAACTGTTTAATCTTTGTTGCGCTGGTTATAAACTCAATTACTCTTGTAAAAATGCCGGTAAATATTTCCTGAAGTCTAAATATGAATTCCTTGTCGCTCAGTTGTATTCACTTGTGTTATGTTTAAATGATTTTCTAGTAACGCAACGTGCACCCCAACAAATTAGCTGAAAAATCGTGCTTAAGTTATAGAAATTTGCATTGCAATTTTCCGGGATGTTGGGATCATAATTACAACAATATTTCAAATGTTACCATCGATGTCATGTCTTTAAAAAATATTCTACCTCATAATTGCTAGAAATAAAAATATTTTTCATCGTTACACAGAGTAGCTGTCACGCTATAACAAAGGAATTAATATAAACTCTGTATATATGTATATATTTTTTGCATTAAGAAAATATACGTATCCGCTTGTTGCTCCCTGTTTTGGTGGTTGTGGTGTGTGGTGGATGCGCTGTCGATGGCAGTTGTTTGTTGCTGCGAAAGCGCCCGCGGCCACGCGGGGCGAAACGAAACGAATTAAATTGCGAGGGCTGCGCCGCGCACAAAGAGCATCCCGACGCGCGGGACGCACGTCCGCGTCCACCCCCTCAGCGCGGCAACAACTGGCGTAGGGTGCACGCATACTGCCTCTATGCCTGCGTGTGTGTTTGTGTTATTTCAATACACCCTGACCCTACTCGGGCGATATTTGCGCGGCGTGCTCATCTGTTGATGATACAAACACACACAGCATCACAATCTTGGAAAATTACTTTCCACATGGGTAATCCGTGTATAACTAGGCTTAAGTCTGAATACACAAAAAATAAAACATGAAATAAAATACGTGACATGGGATGCATGGCGAGAGACTTGACGATAAAACGTGCCGGAGTCAAGATATCGTCAACTAAAGAAAACAGGTAACGCACTACGAATAACATACTTGATCTGGATCCACATCTGAATCGTGTTTCTGTTACCTGCGTGTTTTGTGCGTGCCGCGACGAATTAAACAAGAAAAAAAAATTTTTTTCATTTTTTTTTTCATCCCCAAGGTGTTGTAAACGCGTGAAATAATAAAAATGTTAATTTAATAGCCACAATAGACGCGCATTATGTTAATTAATGACTCAATTTTAATTTATTCGAATTAATTGACTTTTTACCTGTCTTTTACAATAAAATAAAAACCCGCTTCTATAAAATCTCAAAAATCATCACTTTATAAAACTCCTAAGTGGATTTTAATCGTGTCTCAAGCAAAATAAAAGAAAAAACTGAAATTGCATTCCGCGCGCGCGCGCAGTTTGTAATTAAATTTGCATCTTGGCGCACGCGCATGTAGTGCGTAATGCAACCGTCAATTAAAAATTAATAAACCGTTGGCGCGGAAATTGAATAAGTAGTACTCTCCTACTTGTTAATTGATTTCTTAAACTCACTCGCCACACGCACGGCCGCGCCAAGCCCACAACACAAGATGAGGAGAAAAAAAAAACGTTAAGAACCCAATAAAAAACGCATAAATTTTTATCTAATATTTGGTGTGTGGGTTGCACTAATAGAAAGCGTCGCATTAATAATAATCACGGTTTTATCAGTCAAAGGCCCTCATTGAGACGAATTTAATCTTAATTTAATTAAGAACTTCAAAAAAATACCAATACT